GGTGCTGGGGGGTGGGGCCCTGGCTGGGATCCCCACCAAGGCCTAGAGCTGAGATGGAGACGGTTCCTACGGCTGTTCCCTGGGCTTTGTCCAGGCTGGAGATGGGAAGCCCACGGGAGCCTGTTCCTGAGCCGGTGCCCTTGGGTCAGGGTTGCAGGGTGTTGGCGGGAGGTACCGTGGGGGGTGGGAACTTGCCCAGGACTACCCGGGGGTGCCTGCTCCAGGCTAAGGAGAAGATCTGAGGCCCCGGCCGTCGATCCAGCCCCACCAGCAGCGCCAGGCACTCGGGGGCTGCCGGGTGGAGCCGTGTGCGGGCAGCGGCTGAGCAGGGCGTGTCCGTGTGCCAGGATCCCCACGGGAACCGCATCGCCCAGTGGCGAGATGTGACTCCACAGCAGGGCATCGTGGATCTGTCCCTCCCGCTGGCTGCCGAGCCGGCCCTGGGGCCGTACGCCATCGAGGTGCAGGGGACCAGGCGTTGGTTCAGCGTGGAGGAGTACGGTGCGCAGCGGGGCCGGGGCAGCGACTGAGGGTGGGGAGGAGGATTCATGAGTCTCCTGGGGGTGATGTGTCTGGGGGTCCCTGGGAGCTCAGAGCCGTGGGACTGGCCCAGCCAGCACCATGAGACCCTGCACCTCTGTTCTGGGGTGTTGGGATTCTGGGGAGAGGAATTCAGGGTTCTTGCCCCTTGCGTCCCTGCCCCACTCTGCTCTGGGGCCTGGAGGAGGGGAATTGAGGCTCCCTGTTCCACTCTGCAGCTGGTTTCAACTTCATTTCATTTGTGGACCCCTGGGGAAGTCTCGGGCCTGTGGACACGGTTGCTTTTGGTGCAAGTGTGAAGCGCAAATGCACGCAGCAGAATGCAGAGCATGGGGCACATGGCTGTTGGGGTACTGACCCACCCCCGGGTTCGGCCTGCCAGGGGGCGTTCCTGAGCTTGGGACGGTCGGAGAAGCAGATCAACTCTTCTGGGCCTGTTCCCTTCCTAGTTCATGGACCCCTTCCATATAGTCTTGCCCCAGTTGGCCATAAGCCCTGCCAGAGGCCTCAGATGCTGCTGCTGAGCCTGATCCCTGTGGGTCCCAACCAGTCCCCATCGGCCTGCAGCCCCAACACCTCAGCGCTCAGACACCCGGCCAATGAGACCCCCACGTGGCCCCTGCTCCTGGGGTCATTGGGGATGTAAAAGTGTAACTGTGTAAACGGGGAACCAAGGAGCCTGGGCCCATTAACGTTTACGGTCACACGGGGGTCCCCACGCTCACTGGCTCCTGGGGAGCCTCCCGCTGAAACTGTAGTTACTTAATTACACACTGTAACATCCCCACTAGAGACCTTGCCCCTGAGTCCCCAGCCCCCCCGCTCCCCAGACACCCTGCTCCAGGCCCCCCAGTGTCACTGACCCCAACTGTCCCCCTGCGGCGTAGAACAGACTTGTCAGCACAGTAACTGGGAACATGCAGTAAATGCCTTCTTGGGAAAGGGGAGCCCAGAACCTGGCCCTCCCCTCTGTGCCCCGAGTCCTCTCAGACCCCCAGCTGCCTGGTCCCAGCCCCTCCCCCAGGAATATCTCTGCCCTTTGTCCTGCTTCCTGGGCAAAAGGTGGCACCTGGTCACATCCCCTCCTGGGTCAGGTGACAAAGGCATCGGCCATTGTTTACATGCAGGCAGATGGGCAGCCCCTCTGTGGCAGTCACACCCAAAATTCCCATCACCTCTGGGCTTTGTCTCAGTTGGGCTGGTTTGAGCAGGCCAGTGCTGGGGGCCGTGGGAGCAGCCAGAGGGAGGAGGCTGGGGGCAAACAGGGCCATTAGCAGTGGCTCTCAGGGTGCCATTTCTGACAGCTCCCCCCACCCCAGCATGGAGCTCACATCTTGTGAGGAACCCCCCGAGCTGGGGCTGTGGGTCCTTTCCACCCCCTCCTTCTCTGCCCTCCAGAGCCACCCAAGTTCGAAGTGACCCTCCAGCTGCCCCCCGTGGTGACAGTCCTGGACAAGGCGCTCCACCTGCGGGTGTGTGGCCGGTGAGTGCGAACCCAGCCCTGCCAGGCCAGTAAAGGGGGGCTGGTTCCCCTGGACCTGACTCCCCTCCCCTTCACTCCTTTGTCAGGGTGTGACATGTCCCTGCCCCCCTTCCCTGCCTCTGTCTCTGTCCGGGGGAGGGGTCACCCTGCCACCCAAACCACCAGACACCCCAGCAAGGGACCCTCTCCCACTTCCCCTTTCTCTTCCCTCTGCTGCACAGATACACCGACGGGAAGCCCGTGCTGGGGAGAGTCCAGGCCACCCTGTGTCGGCTCAGAGAGAAGACGCGCCGGAGCGTGTGTGTACATCTCACGGGCCAGGTGAGTGCAACTGAAGGCGCCAGGGTGGGGCTCTGTGACTTACTGTGAGAATCATGAACATTCCTCTGGGATCCCTCATCCTCCCTTTGCAGCCTGGGGCCTGATCCTGCTCTCATCTGCCCTGGGGGTAAAATGGGAGGGGCCCAGGGTTGACAATAGAGAGTCCCTGGTGTAAGGCTGGTGTAAGTGCAGGTGAATCAGGGCCTGGATCCCTTAGGGCTACCCACCTTGGGTAGGGGGATGTGGCCAGTGTCCCTGCCGATTTTTCCCTTCGTGGGTGGAATCACTGTTGCTTGTGCAGCACCATGTAGAGATGTGCCCCACCAGCAGAGACACAAAGCCTCGAGTTCTTCTTCGGGCGATGTCCCCATGGATGCTCCACTGTGGGTGTTGGGTCTCAGACAATGGTCTCAGAAGAAGCGCCCACCCCAATTCCACTCTTCCGGCTCCCAGGCTGCGAAACAACAGATTTGAACCTTTGGTACCATCTTTTTGCCTACAGACCATGTCCCTTTCACTTCACTTCCCTGTAACATCCTCCCCAGCCCATCCCTCTTCAGGGACTAGGGATGTTAAATATCGGTTAATTGAATAGTTGAATAACCTCATGAATTTATAGAATCATAGAGCTGGAAGAGACCTCAGGAGGGCATCAAGCCCAGCCCCCTGCCCAAGGCAGGATCAGTCCCAGCTATGTGGCCAGTGTCCCTGTCTATTTTCCCCTTCGTGGGTGGAATCACTGTTGCTTGTGCAGCACCATGTAGAGATGTGCCCCACCAGCAGACACACAAAGCCTCGAGTTCTTCTTCAGGTGATGTCCCCGTGGATGCTCCACTGTGGGTGTTGGGTCGTCCCGGAGCCACAGGTCAGAGCTTTTCTAGCAGTTGTTGGCACCTCATGCCATTTGTGCACTGGCACTTTACACACAGCCCGACACTCCCTCTCCAGTCCCTCACTTACTGCCCTCGGTCTCGTCTTTCACCTCAGGCGCTCATCCTCCTCATGTAGGTCGTTAGCTTAGTTTGCAGTTTTCTTAGTTAATTGCTTATTTGTTCTTTATTCTTGTTCTGGTTACCTATTTTAAAAAAAAGAGTTTTTCTGTTGCTAAGGGAGCTGTGGGGCAACTCCCAACTGAACGCCAACTCGCTTGACTAATCTCAGCCCTTATCCGCCACTTTTCTTTCCCCCATTTAAAGAAAAAAGTCTGAGAAGAAGCCGAGGGGGCCAATCCAGAAAATTAACCACTGGGCCCACCATCAAGCTCAACGGGGATCAAAAAATACAACACATGTCAGGACTGCAACCCTGTTTTGGATGGCCACTCAGCATGTATTCATTGTCTTGGGGAAGCTCATGTCCCTCAAAAATGTGAACACTGCTGCAGCCTCAGGACTAGGGTCCGGAATGACAGGGAGCTTTGGCTCTGCGTGATCCTCTTTGAAAAGGCTATGCAGCCCACTTGCAAATCACAGCCATCTAGACCTCCTGTGCAGGCTGTTGAAAAGAGGGCTGTCTCCTCCTTGCCGAGAAATCACTCAAAGAGAGCCTCTCCTGCAAGATCTCTCCCCCCCCACCCAGAGTGAGTGTCAAGGCTTCTTCCCCTCTCTGGCATGATAAGTGCAGAAGTGGGGGGCTGCAAGTACCCCAAAACCTTATCTTTCCAGGCTTTGGTATAAAGCTTCCCCCCTAGATTTTGGGGATAAAAAAATCCACTGCCACCATCAAATAATGATAAGGAAACCAGGGAGAGACCACTTGGAAATCTCAGCCCCAAAAGTAAAACCAGGACACAAAAATTAACCAGTACCAGGTTAATAAAAAGAAAAGAGAAAGAACTGTAATTATCACCACAATATTCCTGTTGCAAGCATAATGACTAGATGGAAACGTCACAAATTAATATACTCATGGAGGGTATGACGGGGCGGCAGGGGCCGCGGACGCTAGCCCTGCGCCCCGCACTCAAGCACCAGGCTTTGATGGTGGGCCTGCCTTATAGGGTTTTTACCAAGGACAAAGTAACCTTGAAGCCACATCCAACTTTTTTATCCAAAGTCTACACCTTGTTCCACATCAATGAGCCCATAGTTTCACCTGTATTCTTCCCCAAACCTCATGCATCCCCCAGGGAAGCTATGCTCCATACCCTGCATGTTGAAGGGCATTGGCCTTTCACATAGACAGGACTCAGGCCTTCTGTAAGTCTCCACGTCTTTTTGTATCTTCCTCGTCGCTCCTGCAAACAGGGACTGATGCCGCAGGCACGTAACAGGCTGCTCCATGACTCCCGACCGGGAGCAGGGAGGTGGAGGAAGGCACGGCCGAGGTGGACCGGGCCAGCAGAGACCCGGACCAACACCGACAGGGCGCCGGAGGCACCAACGGCGGATCAACGCAGCGTGAAGAGGTGAATCCCCTCCCCTCCCCTGACAAGGCGAGGATGGACAAGGAATAGCCGAGACGGAGGAAGTAGCCCAGGACAAGGTCAGGGAGACCCGGGGACCGGCGAGTTGTGGCCATGGCCCCCCCGGTCGGGCAGCGCATTGAGGATGCCTACCCTTAAGGTCCTGGGCTGGGACCTGGAGAGGGGGAGGGCCCAGGTCCCCCTCCGCCTCAGAGAACCCCTATAAAGACTGACAGTGCAGTTGCGACCGGCGGCTAAGGGGAGGGCCCCCACACGGGCCAGACGGGTCGGTGTGTGACAGAGGGATTCCACCATGGGCCAAAACTTAGTTACAATGTAGAGGAAAACCCATTTTTAAATGCACAGACATCAGATTCCCATTCCCAAACCATAAAACAATAAAACCTAATGGATTTATCTAAACTTTACCCTACTTACAGTCTTTGAGAGAAACTGCTCCGAGACAAAGGAGGGAAAACCCCCAAATTCCTTTGTCCCAGTTTGAAGTTCCTACCTACATTCCTATTGGCTGACTCTACCTGGCTTAGGTAAGTGACATAGTTAACCCCTTAGTCCCCAGGCTGCTGGCTAACCCTCATGGTCATGACAGTGAGCAAGGGAGATACACTGGGCACCTCTGATACTGTGGCGCTGAGACCATCTAGCAGTGCTGCTTCTGCAACCTCCTGCACTGCTTTGGTGCTGACCCAGTCTCCTCGGCATTGGAAAGGTCCCGCTCACAGACTGTGACACCGGTGCTCGCGAGATCACAAGACTCGGCACTGGCAGAGGTGATGGCACCGGCACCCAAATAGCTGCCCCAAAAATCATTGGAGCTACGTTCTGTGACATCGGCACCGATAAAAGACCACCTGAATGACAAACGTGCAGCTCTGCTGAGACCTGACTGGGAATCCTTGGCACCGGGAGACATGACAGACGCTATTCTTCCCTCCCTCTATCTAGGGAACTCTTCCCGGTACCGTTTTCATCCTGCGCTTCTTGGGGCTCTGTGAGATCTCCAGTGTTCTCTGTGCGTACCTCTCTCGGACAGGAAGCTCGGAGAAGTATCTTTTCCTTACAACGCTCCTCCTGCACTACATCTCCCGACACTCTTCCCGCACTACAACTGTTATTCTGATCGCAACAGACCTGGCCACCCGTCGTGGTAATCAGAGTGGCCACTTCCTCCACCTCACTGTCCACTCCACTGGCCACCATGGGAACACTGTGGTTCTTGTAGATTTAATTCTTCAGTTCCATCTATCACACCAGCCTCACCCTCTCACCCTCCCAACCACAGTGGATTCGGAAGAAGAGGAGGGCCAAATCCAGGATGAACAAACTGAGACACGTGCTCCTGGGGATTCTCCTACAGATAATTCTTCCTCGTCCCCTGATGAAGCTGTGATCCCAGAGGATACGTATCCCACCGATGACTTGAAACAGTTTAAAAGAAGTTTTTCAAAGGAGAGCCTCGAGCCTGCAGCACCAGGAGCTGGAGGAAGAACAACTCGGCCTCCTGAGAAATATCAGCCCTGCTTCTCAGGGACAGATCGCGTTGCCCATCGATGAGGCCATTGATCACTCTGCCCATTATGGGGGTATTGGTCGAGATATGGCGAACCCCAGTTTCCACCCAACCCACATGCAAAGGAGTTGGCAGGAGTATTTTGTGCTGCCTAAGGACTTAGTCTTCCTTTCTTCTCATCTGCAACCCAACTCTTCAGTAATGGATGTGGTTAATCATCACTCTAGGGTGTCATTCAGTAACGCGGCTGCTGGGCCCTATTTCTGTTTCAAAACTGGAGTGGAGCGAGGAAGCTTCAGGAGTCACTCCTGCCCCCAATGGGAGCATGTTTGAATACCAGGCAGTCAAGAAGAACCACGCCCCCTCTTCTGGCTCAGTTATTCACTGAAGCACACGGCCAGGCCAGCAGGCAGGCTGGCTGGGAAACATTTTAAGCTCTGAAAACCTTAGCTCTGCAGGCAGGCAGGCTGGTTTGGCTGCTGGCTGATAAGTCTCCTGGCCACAGCCTGCCTCTGACACCCCAGCCCCTCCCTGCCCCAATCCTTTGCCCCTCACTCAACATATCCAAACCCTCTGTCCCCTTCTTGCACCCATACCCCCTCCCAGATCAGCTGCCCCAATCTCCTGCTCCAAATCACAATCCCCTTCTACTCTGAGTCACGTCCCAAACCCCTGCACTCAAGTCCCCTGCTCTAGGTCACAACCACTTGCTTTACCCAAACTCCTTCCCAGACTCCAGTCTCCCTTCTGCACCCCAATCTCCTACCTAAAGCTCCCCTCTGCACCCAACCTCCATCCCAGACTCTACACCTCCTCCATTAATGTCATGGAAGAGTGCGGCCCTCAACCGCTTTCCAAAATATTGGAATGACCCCTGTCATAAATTATTGCCTACCCCTGCTCTAAGGCTACACAATTCAAATCCGTTCTCAGTGACAGAGAGCACAGGAAGCTAGATTGTTTGGCAGGGGCTACATTCCTCTGCCACATTGCAGCTTGGAATCACAAACTATTCGGCACGTCTAGTGAACCATGACTTTGAGAAGTGTTACAAACTAGCTGAATGAATGGAACATTTCTCAGACTCCAGAAGGCCCATACTCAGATTGGTCATCCACGAGGGACATACCATTGTCCGTACTGCTTTACAATTCTCACGTGATGTGGCTGACACGGCGGCGAAGCCGACAGCTCCAGTGGTCATGAGGCCCAGGGCTTCGTGGCTTCAAGCAGTGGGAGCGCCCAGGGAGTTGCAGTCTAAGGCAGATAAACAGAAGCTCTTCGCAGCCAAGATGGTCGATGTCCTACATAGCAGCAAGGACTCCCTAGCGCTGGGCATGTGTGCACCACTGTATCGACAGGAGCTCTATACCCCTTAGAACAGGAACAAGGACAATTATTACAACCAACACAGCAAGGGTCATATGACTACAATGGACCTAGACAACGGCCTCAGAAGACACGCCCACCCCAATTCCACTCCTCAGGCTCCCAGGCTGCAAAGCAGCAGATTTGAACCTTTGGTCGAGGGTCTGCCTGAGCTCCC